TCAGGAAACAGACGGAGTCAGGAAACAGACGGCGTCAGGAAACAGACTGAGTCAGGAAACAGACGGAGTCAGGAAACAGACGGAGTCGGGAAACAGACGGAGTCAGGAAACAGACGGCGTCAGGAAACAGACGGAGTCAGGAAACAGAAGGCGTCAGGAAACAGACTGAGTCAGGAAACAGATGGAGTCAGGAAACAAACGGCGTCAGGAAACAGACCAAGTCAGGAAACAGAAGGAGTCAGGAAACAGACCAAGTCAGGAAACAGACTGAGTCAGGAAACAGACAATCAGGAAACAGACTGAGTCAGGAAACAGAAGGAGTCAGGAAACAGACGATCAGGAAACAGACCAAGTCAGGAAACAGACCGAGTCAGGAAACAGACAATTAGGAAACAGACAGAGTCAGGAAACAGACGGAGTCAGGAAACAGACGGCATCAGGAAACAGACCAAGTCAGGAAACAGACTGAGTCAGGAAACAGACAATCAGGAAACAGACAGAGTCAGGAAACAGACGGAGTCAGGAAACAGACGGCATCAGGAAACAGACCAAGTCAGGAAACAGAAGGAGTCAGGAAACAGACGATCAGGAAACAGACCAAGTCAGGAAACAGACCGAGTCAGGAAACAGACAATTAGGAAACAGACAGAGTCAGGAAACAGACGGAGTCAGGAACACAGTTGGACACGAGGAAGAAACGTCAAACGTAAATAAAACAAACAAACAAACTGTTGAGGCAGCAACTAAAACTACAACAGGACTCAAGGGCACATGGAGGCGACCTGGACACGGTGTGAAGAACACACACGATGCCCCACTGAAGAGGAGACAGCTGGGACTGATGAGGTGAGTGGCTGCAGCTGAGTTTAGTGGGAATGAGGAACAGGTGTGTGTGGGCGTGGCAGGAGCAGCAACGTAAAGCACAGAAAATTAAACAACCAAAAAGAAATTAAACTAATAATAAACACAAAGACTACAAAAACCTTCAGGTCGGACCCAGGAAACTGGACCCAGAAAGACCCTCCAACACTACTGGTAGAACCTGAAGGTCAGAGTTGAAGAACTCAAACCTAAAAGAGAAGCTCTCAGGAGGAATCTGAACAAAGAACACAAACTGAACGCTTGGTTTCATCTCAAGTGCTTTGAGAGGAACGTTGAAGCACAAGAGTTTGAGAAGCAGCTTCAGAACCACTTACCGAGCCTCCGGCTCTCGGGCCACAAGAAGTTTTAATGAGCACTCTTACCGTAGAGACCGGTTTAAGGAGGACTCCAAGACCCTTAAAGCTCGACCCTGGACTACTTCAGGTCACATTTGGTACGTAGGCTGGGTTCAGCGCCAGCGTCTACAATGTCAAGATGTTCTCAATGTTATGTCTTAACCTGGATGAACCCAAGTCCACTCAGGAACCGTGTGGTTCTGTCTTTAGGTCATGGACGTGTCTGTTTGTGTGTCCGTCCGAACAATGGAGCCTCTGTTGTCCACAGAGAGACGAGAAGGACGGACTTCACATAATCGTCCATCAGATAAATTAGAGACCTCGGTCCTAAAGACGTCTCTGTTCATATAACCTTACATACACACACACACACACACACACACACACACACA